TATTTGTATTTTAACAAAACGTAAGCTTAAATTATATTAGCATTTATTTTTGTCTTTAGGTCTTTCTCATTCATTCAAAAATGTCGAGTTTAATCTGTTCAAATTATCATTTTATTAAATACATTCATTTGAATTATATTCATTGATGTAACTAGAATCGAATTGGATAGATATGAGTTAAGTTAATGAACAAGTTTAAAATGGTTAAGAGTGATCAATCGATCGTTGAAATCCCAAATCATTTGAATTATTTCCGTATATATAATTGGAATTAATAAATATATGAATTTAACTTAATGAATGAGTTTAAAATGATCGAGATTGATTGATTGATTGATCGATCGATCGCTGAAAAGATTTGTTGAAAATGAATGAAAATGTTGAATAAATGAATGGAAAACTAAACAAAATAAAGCTGATCAAATTGCAATGAAGTGAAAGAAAAAAAGAAAAAAGATAAGCCTAAATATGTATTGGTAATATTAGTTTAAAAAAAAAGCCTACCAGAAGTAAATAACAATTGTGCAAATTCCATTTTCTTTTTTTTTTGAAAGAAACAAGATGTCCATGAAAAGACAAAATCTATTAAATATTAAAAAGAAAATTAGAAGTGAAATTTTGACTTTTTTTTAAAAAAAAAAAATATCGGCGAAAAGGAAAGAATAAAGTGTTTGTCATTATTTATTACTTACATAAATAATTATAATTTTCTTCCTCTCTTAATCGTTTCACATCAACTTTTGCCATCCTTTTTCATTTTCACAAATAATAATGGCAATAGTTTCATTTGGAAAGGGAAAAAAAAGAAAGAGAAAAAGAAAAAAGGAAAAAAAAATGAAAAGAAAACAATTTTACAACAACTATTAATTTTATTCTATTCATTTTCAAAAAAACGAAGAAATGCAAAAGAAAAGGAAAAAAAACGATATATTTTTTTTCCTAATTCTTCTTTTCCTTCTTTTCTCTCTCTCTCTCTCTCTCTCTCTCTCTCTTCGTATCATTTTTTCCTTCTATAAAATATAAATGGGAAAAAAATAAATGTATTACTATGTTTTGGGTATGAATAACAAAAAAAAAAAATAAAAAGAAACTAGCCTTATAGCCTTTAGGCTTAACAACTAGAATTCAAATGAGAATAAAATTGGAGTGCAAACAAATAAACAAACCAAATATCCATTTCGTTTATTTTCATTTTTTTTTTCTTTCCTTTTTTTTTTCAATGACTTCAACTAATTGAAATAACGAAATATTCTTAGCGATATTTTCAATAAGCGAATTGGCTCTGTTTTATCCATTTTGTATGCAAAATGTTTAATTTTTATTCTTACTTTTTTTTTTTTAAATAATAATCTCAGCTCATAAAAATTTTCATTCCTTAATGAAAAATTTTAAAATAAATAAAATGATACAGGGGACTATTTATATTTCAAGCATTTCCTTAGCAATTCATTTAGATTTATATCTTTTCATTAGCTTCAAAAAATATTGCTTACTCAGCTAAATTTTTTAGATTTCCTTTCAATGATCTTCAAATATCCTACCGCTTCATAAAAATGTTGTCATCATTATATGACAATAATATCGATTGATTTTTTTCTTCTTAAATCTATTTAAAATCGTTTAATTTAAAATTTAAATACGCTGAAATATTGTGAGAATTTAAGGATTTTTTTTCGAAAATAAGGAAATTTTGAAGAAAAATTACAAATTGTCGTGAAAATAATTATAAAATAGAAAAAAATACAATTAAATACCTTGCTAACAGAAATGAATGTCACCAAAAAAAAAAAATTGAAAAAGCAAACACAAGAAGGAAAATGTACCATCGAACGAGTAATTCAGTTATTTTTGTTTCAAAAATTTTTCCATAATTTCATGCAATTATTAGTTCTTTTGGCTAATTGTTTCATCCCATCACTGCAATATTTTTAATTATTAACAATTCCATTAAAATTATCGTATAACACTTCTAGCAATGGAAATATGATTTGGAGAAGATCAACCCAATTAATTTAACTTTACTCAATTAATTTCACTTTACCCAATTAATTTTACTTCCCAGATCATCATGTTTCTATAAAATTGACTATTGGTCAGTATTGGAGATCAAAATAAATGGATATTTCTTGATCACAATTTAGTTTAATAGTAGGCAATTATAATTACTTGTCAGATTAATGTTTCTTTTTTTTTGGCTCTTTGCTCTCTTCGGCTTTTGATAAAAAAAAAAAAAATTCATCGTATATTAGTTGGACTGTTACATTAAATCATTTCACTTCTATTCACCATAAATAGTAATTAAATTTGTTTTTCGGGCAATTATCATCTATTATTTTCCTTTGCAAAAAACGTCCGTGCGAAAAATACTCCTGAAATGATGATCATTGCAACATTTGAAATTATGTCACCATCGGAATTAAGTACCGAATTCGATTTTTCATCCGAACCAACCAGGTACCGAATCTTGTTCCAATATTTATTTAACTTGAAACAAGTGATATGCCCTAAATAGTACTAAGTAGTTTTATAACAATTCCTATCAAGTAAGTAATAAATTTATCTTTAAATCATAGAAGAAAAAAAATAACGTAAGGTTTTCCAATACTGTACCAATTCGACTAATTTTATAAACAAGGACAAATTTTAAG